CCCTGTAACCTTCAGGGCTGAAATGTAGAGTAGGCCTAGTTGTAGAGTATGACAGTAGGCTGATGTTCTAATCCAGGTGAGTCTAGTCCTGTGTTCTGAGTCCCAGGCTGTTCTAGCTGGTTCTGATTGTCCTTTGCTCTGACCCCCAGACACTAGCTGGCTCTAAGGGTCCTGTGTTCTGACCCCCAGACTGTGTTTTAATCTAACTGGTTCTATCTGTCATTTGAATGTTAATTAAAACATTTTGAATTATATTATGTTGTATTTGATTTTGTTCAGAGTTACTTTCAAGTGTTTAGGGGAAAAAAGTGCTTAATTTACCAATCCCCATGATTCTGTTACTAGTCCGACATTAGTTCTGGAATGTGTGGTTGTCAAGCTGTCAGGATTCTAACTGTTACAACATTATGTTGTATGGTAGTTTCAGATTGGAACATGTTGTTATGGTAGTTTCAGAGTGAAAAAAGTAAGTGGATCAGTTTACCCCCAGCTGGTTCACTTTACCCCTTTGATTTCTCTGGTCTGTCTCAGTTTACCCCTAAGCTGAGGTAAAGTGAGACAAGACCACTTTTTAAAAAAACAATCATATTTTCACTGCCCTTTGTCATGAACACATTCTGATAATTTCCATTGCTAGGGAACATCCTGAATTCATTCATTCATATAATTTTAGCTCGCTTAGAGGGGAGCAAATGTAAAAATGTTTCACTTTACCCCACCCTCCCCTATATGGAAAGTCCCTATGTGTGTGTGTGTGTGTGTGTGTGTGTGTGCGCGTGTGTGTGTGTGTGTGTTTGTGTGTGTGAGAGAGTGAGAGTGAGAGTGTGTGTTTCTGAGCAATGAGATAACTCCAGCAGAGATTTATAACTTTACACTTAGTTATGTCAGGTGTGGCACAGTTGCTGTAGCGATGAACATTGGACCAAACACTTTCTGAGTAAGAGGTCATAGAGCACCTCCCATTGCTTCCTTAAACACTTACGAGAGACTTGCAACAGAAAGAGACTTGCAAAAGCTGGTGAGTAACTGAGCACACAACACGGTTCTCTCAACACTGTGAGGATCTTAAATCACAAAACATGATAAATCATTGGATAGCAGGAAAAATGTTTTACCTTGTGGTTTAAGGTGTAAATTCTTTTATGGACACTTTCACGGTGCAGATTCAAGACAGTGAATCTTTATGGGTGATCACGAGAATGATCAACTGAGAACACAAGACTCTATTTACAGTATAAAGCCTGGTGACCACAATAGTGTATATGATTTGAGTATGTATGGTTATGACCTCCTTTTAATTTATAGAGTATATGTTGAATATTTTCTTATACAATTAGTTACACTGTAGTACTATTTAAGTGAAAAAAGAACATAATAGTGGAAAGCATGTAATGGAAAGCATAACAATATGCACTTTCGTTGGAGATTAATATTTGTAAATAAAGTGGTAATTTATGTTTAGTTTTTTCCGCAAACAAAGCACTTGTGTCGCTTCATAAAATTGAGGTTAAACCACTGGAGTCAAAGTACTTTTATAATGTCTACTTATATTTACTAGGGTTGGGTATCGATTCCGATTCTTATTGATTCCTAATTGCAATTCCAATAAAACAACAACAACAACAACAACTAAGATATCAAGTCCTATAGCAAAACATTTAATTGAAGCTGAATACCATGAACAAAAATCAACAGGCTAAAGAACACTTATACAAGGAACGTTTGCCTATGGTTTAAAAATACCATAGCAAAAACAACTAACTTAACTAATATCAATTTCAAACATAATTAAAGACAAGTAAGCACTCAGTAATTAAAAAAGAACAAATAGAAATCTCACAAATAAATACAACTGAACAAAGAGACATTTCAAAATTAACAGTGTTTTAAGATTTTCAGGTATTCAGGTACAGAAACTATTCTTTTTTTTACAAAAAAATGTAAAATAACTTTATAAATAAAATATACATTGCAAATATAGTTACAAAGTTATTCAGTCCAGAACAGCGAGTACATTTTCTCTTTGTCTTCTGTTGTTTGATTAACGTTATTATAGGAACTATATAGGAATATTAGGTTGCTGTCACTTTAAAATTTGCACAGATCCAACATGCTGTTACACGTGTGTTTTCGTTGACAACTGTTTACGTTCACTTAAGACATAACCTACTATTTTTACTAGGATATTTTGACATTTTTGTGTGTATTTGTGTATTTGTAATGCGGAATAGAACTCAGTTCAGCAGATTAAATAGCGTGCGGGTCTTCTTGCGTTAGAATGGTTTAAAAATCATATTAAAATGCACACAACGGAATCGATAAGAGGATCTAAATTTGAATTTTATAACAAGTGTCCGATTCCAGAATAGGAATGGATTTTTGATTCCCAACCATAGCATTACCTTTCTGGGGCTTGAAAGTGGTAGTTGCGTGGGCTGTCAATGGAGTGACAGAAAGCTCTCAGATTTCATCAAAAAGATCTTTGTATGTGTTCCTGTGAGGGACTCGACATATGGCAAAATAAAATCCAAATGCTGGAAGTTTATTTAATCTCAGCAAACAAATCCAATACACTAGACAGAGACGTAGTCGATAACTAAGGCAGGCAAAACGTGGTCGATAAGGCAGGCAGGGTAATCAGAGACAAGTAATCAGTCCAAACAGGGCAAAAACGGTAATCCAAAAGGCAGTAATCTAATAAGGCAAGTGCAATGGTCATAACAAGAAGGCAAAGAATAAGCAATGAATAACGCTCGGTAAGGCAGTGATAGACTGGCAATATACTTCACAAGGAAGAAGTGGAAAGGCATGGCTATTTATACTAGTGTGAGGCAGGAAGTAACCAACAAAGCAATAGTCCATGTTAGTATTCGGGAGAGGGCTCCCTCTGGCAGTTGGATGAATGGGTGCCAGCCTCATTCATTACAGTACCGAAGATGGACTAATGTTTTACGGGATTGGAACGACATTAGGGTCGATTTTGGGTGAACTAACCCTTAAACATACAATCTCATTATGTTTGAATTATCCCACCCAGACCTAGTTTTTTTTTTATCAGCATAAATTTAGAAAAATAAAAAATAATAAAAATAAGTAATACCTAATTGGTAACACTTTACAATACGGGTGCACTAATAAGCATTAATCCATGCTTAACTAATGCACAGATAATACTGAATTAATGTGTAACTAATGATTATCTAAGTTAGTCATTAATGATTACCACATTAGGAACTAATTAAGAGTCTGTATGGTTAATGTATTAGTTCATACATGAATTGTTATTAATTAAATATGTAATTGTGAATTAATTCCCTAATAACTCATTGTTTTAACTAATAGTGTTAATTAATATGTTAATTACCAGAATGAGCCAAAGCCTTGTATTTCAACTTCCAGATAATAGATGTACACTAATATGCATTAATACATGATTAATTACTTCATTGTTAGTGCAAATTCATGTGTAAATTACTACAATTACTAAATGACTAGTTAATAATGATGTGCCTCAACAAGTAAAGTCATAACATAATGATAACTTTGCAAATCATTAGCTAATGATTAATTAAAGCAGAAAACTGGAAGTTGAAGTGCATAGCTTTGACTAATTGTGGTAATTAACACATTATTAGTTAATAAAATATGTTATTAAGGAATTAATACACAATGACACATTGAATTAATAGCAATTCATGTATTACTTAATCTATTAATCATATAGACTATTTATTAGTTGCTGATGCAGTAATCATTAATTAATGGTTTAGTTCTTCATGAATCATACATTAACTCATGATTATCTATGCATTAGTTAAACATGAATTAATGCATATTAGTGCACCCGTATTGTAAAGTGTTACCAAATAATTTATAACATAAATAATATATCATTATTTTCTTTCACATTACACTAATGAGAATGACATTTTCTCACATTATGTGAACGTGAATTTGGGGGAAAATGTGAAAATTATATAATGTTACATATGCTTCATTTTCTTTATGCAAGGTGTCAGTGTCTTTATGAATTTGGGGTGAAATATAAAACTCACATGTTCTTGGCAGGGTTTGTGAGATACACAACAAAAAATATGAATGTTGACATTATTTGTCAGCTACCACTAGGTATAATATTAAATATTAAAAAAATATTACTATTTTGTGAAACATCCCTTGTGAAAGAGAAGCATGCTTAATTGTACTGACTGTAGACTTGATGTGTACTTTAAATAATGTTAATTAAATAAAAGGCCACTTGATTGTACTTAGTCATCATGAAATCAAAACAGACAATTCTTATATTTAATTTGATTTTGCAGTATTTATTATAAATGATTAATCCGGGCACATATTTTTTTAAATTAATTTCCCCCTTATATTCTTTAATAAAAAAATAAATTAAAAAACTTCCGCCCTTTTTGCAATGACATCTTTTTATTTATCTGATGAAGTGTTCACCAACATGAGGGTGGGCCAATAACCTCGACCCAACATTTCCGATTTGTCAGCATAAAACGGAAGTTGCGATAGCCTTTTCTTCTCTATTGAGCATCGTTGAAATGCCACAGCCCACCTGAGTATTGTTGCTGACAATGGAGATTCATATCATAGATGTGCAGTCAACAAATCTGCAGCAACTGTGCAATGCTGTCATGTCAATATGAACCAAAATCTCAGAGTAGATTCAGTTTATTTAAGGAATCTGATCCCACTCACATGTGACTCAACAGCTGCTCTAATGGGCTCTGTGAAAATCTCCATCTCTCACAGACAGACTCATTAATGTCCATTCATCCTCAGACACACACCTCTCTTTACTCATCTGCACAGTCAGATTCACTCCAAATTCACTTGTACAGTCAGAGCCCATCAGCTTCATTTCGCCTCACAGCAGTGTACTGCTGTGCTGAGTCTCACTCATTTGTATCTCAAGCTCAGGGCGGAGAGAACAGCCTTGTTTGGTGCTTGAGAGGGTCACATGACCACAAAATGGTGGAGGCTCTAAGCAGTGGGTGAACAGAGCATCCCTGACACTGAGAGAGATACAGGCACACATCCATGATCTGAAACGCAGAGCAGGAGAGAAAACTGTGCCTCAGCCGTGGTGGTGAGTGCATTGTGCGTGATTATATCAGGCATGTTGTTGTTTGAAACCTTGAGTGTTGGGATGGGAGGGGAAAGAGGGAGGGATGGGCATTTGTTTGTGATGCATCAGTGTTTGGTAACGGAAGAGGCTTAGCATCAGCATCCTTTATGATGCAAGACATGGGCAGCTGCTTTTGTTTGTGCATGGATCATAAATGAATGTTTGTCATGTTTAATACAAACATGTTTTGTTGTAATGAGGTTTCAGCTTATAAGCACATTTGACCTGCTTTTGCCATCATTCAAATTCATGGCTCTGCATGTACGGCTCATTTATTTGCCTGTGTGTGTGTGTGTGTGTGTGTGTGTTTGTAAATGTAAATGTGTGTGGACACTGAAGCGGAAGAGTTATTCACAAAGAAGAGGGGAGAGAGAGCAGAGTAGAAAGGGTTGTTGTTGATGATGATGATGATGATGACATAACGCCCCCGCCCACTTTCCCTGTTTCCTGCTGTGGAGGATGGAAAGATAGATGGATTAAGCCAAAGTCTTGATGGAAGGAGAGAGCAACAGACCTTTCCACTTTCACCCTCGTCCGCTCTCTTTCTCTCTCAACAAACATTCTCTGTCTGAGAACTGGCAACCATCTGGCAGCTTATTGTAGACACTCCCGCGAGATAGGCTTCTCTTCTCACGTGGGCGTGGCTGTGTGTGTCCATGCATACATTTACACATGAATTCACACTGCTTCTAAATTCCAAATAGGAATGGTAAAAGGATGATACGGAGAGTTTTTTTGAGCAGATAAGTTTATAGAGACTATAGTTCTCTTAAGTGAGTTTGTTTGTTGTGCATTGCAGCTGCAGCAAATGCAAGAGTGCTATTACAACATATTGAAGAGCGACAACATTACCGGATTCACAGTATTAAGTCATCTACTTTGCTGGAGACTCGTTTGAAACAGCTCTCTTTGTTTGTGAGTCCTTGTTTTGTAGCTCCAATTTTAACAAGGGTGTGTTAAAACTGTAAAATTTGTAGTTAAGTAGGATAGTTTATTATTATTATTATTGAGTTGTTGTTGTTGTTTTTTTAAATTTAACTCTAAATACAGGTCTATTTATTTATTAATGTATTCATTATTTTTATTATTATAGTCTCCTGCATCGATAAGTGAAAATGATCTCTCGTTGTTTTGTGTGTGTTTCTCATAGTTCCCTTTCTGGCGATGTGGGGATGGACCTGACTCATGAACGAAAGATGAGCTTTGAAGGTGCAGAGAGTAGACCAGGTAAGACTAAATACAGCTAAATACTGACACTTATAGAATCTGCCCGAAGATATAAGTAGACTGAATACATTTAAAAAGACTGCTTCAGATTCACAGAACAGTGGATCGGTTATGTGTAAAGTAACATTCTCTTCTTCTGTTCATCTTGTTAGGCTTAACATGATTTCAATCATAACAACTCTCTGAATAGTTTTAGCATGTTATTGAATTTGGCAATGTTAATGTATTTGGTCTTGGCAGACTAGATCTGCTATGCTGCTGCAGAGCAAGTATGGACTTGCTACTGCCAATAGATACACAGACGTGCTGTGAGCATGTAAGATATGCTGCTGCTGCATAAATCGACGTATAGATAAATGGCGTAGCAGATATAGGCAGGTGGAGCTGGGGGAGGTGTAGGGTTTCAGAGAAATTCTGATAGCGCAATGCAAGACTAGCTAACAGCAAACAATGAAGCAGACTATTTAAATGCCGAGCAAGAAATGTTATTGGCTGCAGGATCAGTAAAGGCCAATCAGCTTGTGCCATATGTGGTAATGATGTGTGGACCTATCAGCATGCGCCCTCTAGAGTTTCATGACTGAAATAGATATTTACTCAAGTAGGACATGTTCTGAATCCTTGTAGGCCCTGGAACACTATTCAAATGACCCAAGCTGAAACAGTGTACAGAACCATGTGTAATGCTGGATAATTTTATAGATGTTAATTGATTGTCTGTTAATTTCCACTAGCTCCGCCCACCTCCCTGCCCCTACAGGGCCAAGGGGGTGTGGCCTCTCAGAGGAAAAAGCTGTCCGCTCCTCGTATTAGTCTATCATTGGACCAAAGTGAGGATGACCTGTTTGACACACCAGATGACCTCGACATCAATGTTGATGATCTGGACACACCTGATGAAGCAGATTATACTGACCATGAAATAGACTGGGAAGGTTGGACATAAACACTTGTAAATAATTGTTTATTATTAAAAAAAGATTACTAATACACAGTATGTTTTTCAGAGCCTCAAGCATCCCAGAGAGATTCAGTAAAAGAAACAGCTGAGCCCATTCCCACATACAGTGCTGAAGAAGAGCGGCAGGATTCCAAACTCTGGAGAACTGTCATCATTGGAGAGCAAGAGCACCGCATCAACATGAAGAGCATTGAACCCTACCAAAAAGTCATATCCCATGGAGGTACGTTAAAGGAATATTTCAAGGAAAATTTAAAGTAGTATTCTGTCTGAAATCAAAACAGACAATTCTTATTTTTAATGGAATTTTGCAGTATTTATTATATATGATTAATCTGTGCACATAGTTTTTAAAATTAATGTACGCTCATATTCTTTAATCAAAAAAACTTTCGCTCTTTTGCAAAGACATCTTTTTATTTATCTGGTGAAGCGTTCACCAACATGAGGGTGGGCCAATTACCTCGACCCAACAATTCTGATCCGTCAGCATGAAACGGAAGTTGCGATAGCCTTTTCCTCCCTATTGAGCATTGTTTAAATACCACAGCCCACTTGAGTATTGTTGCTGACAATGTCTATCCCTTTATGACCAGGTGTTAAATATAAAGCAAAGAGACAGTGATTAGCACTGAGAATAATTCAGACATTTTTCTCAGTGTTCAAAAACAAAGGGTTAGGTATAGCCAATGCATGTACAGTATAGCCTTACAATGGAAGTCAATGGAGTATTAAAAGTAAAAATGTGAAGCTCCTATTTTTCATCAGGGGATGTCCAGTCCTGCTCCTGGAGGGCCACAGTGACTGTCCTGCAGAGTTTAGCTCCAACCACAATTAAACACACCTGAAACAGCTAATCAAGCTCTTAATAGGCATACTAGAAACTTCCAGGCAGGTGTGTTAAGGCAAGTTGAAGCTAAACTGTGCAGGACAGCTGCCCTCCAGGACCGAGTTTTGACACCCCGACTTACATGGACATGGAATATAATGTTTGATATTTGATATTTGAGCTTTAATACCTAAATCTTCCAATTAAGGATTTAATTTGGTCAGAAATGAATCTGATGGGATAGAGATTCTATCAAATCATGAGTAAATGTTTGAAAGTTATGGTTAAGTGGTTATACTTTTCAGAATTTGAAATTTATTTGTGGTCCTGTGTGCTTACCCGATGTATGTAATGTAATCTATATAATTATAACAGCAGACAGACACTGGTAATATATCTTAAGGTAAATTTACTCCTGTGAAAAAGAAGTACACTTAGCATACTTTAAAAAAGAGTGATGCTATTATTATACGGAAACAATATACTTTAAAATAATATACTTAAGTGCAAATTAAATGTAATGTTTTTGCAGTTAAGTTGGGTACTAATCATCTAGAACCGTTTAGTTAGATGTTATTGACAATTAAATGCAATTAGTTAAACATAACAGTGTTTTTTGACCCACTTAAGTAGGACTTCAGCATGTTTATATGTAATTTCATAATTCTGTTGTCTTTGAAATATGGTAAAAGCATATTGTCGAATGTATTGACAAGCATTTATTGTGTATTAATAGAAAGATAATTTCTATTGAAACTTATGTCATGTATTTAAATATATTTGTAATTACACATTTGCAATGATGAAGTTGTAGTTTAGTACATTTAAAATATAATAACAGTTACATCAATCAAATACTTCACATGTGCTTTAGTATTTGAGTCAACATTTCAAAATAAGTGTACTTTTTTAAAGCATGACAACAGACTTTTAAATGTGCACTTTTTAAAAGTGTACTTAAGTGTGTTAAGAAACATAGTCAGGAAAGTGCAATCTCTTATGATCCACTTAAGTATGTGGAGTATTATATCACCTGCAAGTACAGTTTTTAATTATATTTGAAATACACTACTTAGTGCACATTTATTACAATTTAACCCACTTTTTCCTCAAGGGTAACCTGTAATATGCCTTCAAATTGTGTTGAGCAATTAATATTGAAATATATTTAATATTTACCCACAGGCTACTATAGCAATGGTGCGAATGCCATCATTGTGTTTGCTGCATGCTTCCTCCCTGACAGTGACAGAGAGGACTATCACGAGATCATGGAAAACCTCTTTCTGTGAGTTTAGTCTGATATAAGCCAATCAGTTGCCCTGATGTCAAAATATCTTACAAGGCTTGTTAATCCTATAATATAATAGAGGGTATGCATTGACGTCACTTTCCCTCAGCTGTACTAAGTGGCAAAACATCCCGCAACACGAATGGATTTTATAGAGGAAACTGCGAAAACTGGAGTAAAACAATTGATTATCTTCTTAAATTAAAGGCAGTTGGACTCTACAGTGTTTCTTACAACTTACAAAAAAAAAAAAAAAAAAAAAAACAGTGGTCCATGGACATTGACATGTGGTCAGGAATAGGAATCGGGTTTCCTGACATTTATATGTACCTGATTTCAACGCTGGGGAAATACATAAGGCAAAGCCTGTGAATGCTTTATCTGTTAGACAACACTATAAATATGTTATTTATTAGGTAGATCTAAATCCGGATGACCAGTTATATCATTGTTATATTGTCATATCACCAAGCCCTAAAACTTGTTAAAGCACTAAGGAAAAGACATAACATTATAAATATCTGTAAATCTATCAATCTATCAATCTATCTATGGAAAACGTCTCGGTTACATATTGTAACCCTCGTTCCCTGAAGGAGGGAACGGAGACGTATGTTGTAACCGACAAATAGGAATCTCGCTAGCGAGGCCAATCTAGTTCGAGTGAAACTAAACAAGCCAATGCACATTGGCGTGCAATAATTTGCATCAGCTGTGCAGCCTCACAGCGCGGGTATATAACGAGCAGCTGGTGTGATTGCACTCTAGTTTTTTTGCTGAGGAGCCAAGCCTGAAAAAGCTGGCCGCCCCGGCTGGCGGCAGCAGATGTGGCGACGGGACATACGTCTCCATTCCCTCCTTCAGGGAACGAGGGTTACCATATGTAACCAAGACGTCCCCTATTAGTCGGTCACTATGACGTATGTCGTGACCGACAAATAGGAATCCCTACCAAAGCGCCACAGCTGCTGCACCCAATCCAGCGCCCTGTGCAAGCCTCTACACCTTCTTGCCTGGAAGGATGATTGGAGGTTGCTTACACAGAGTGTATCTGTTACTGTTGTTCCGTGATAACCCATACAGTGAGATTATTGGATAACACTGGGAAGCGTGCCCTTCTGTTAGGAAGGAGAATGCTGCGGAAGCCACTTTCTTCAAGGAGTTATGTGGGGAGTACATATGGACTAGCCCGAAGGTTGTACTACAGATGAATTACTGGGTGACTTAGCCCAAGGGAAAGACACAGGCTTCCGTTAGGAGCAGCCGTGGAGAATATACACATATGGGATCCCCGTAGGGTCACACATATGGAACCCAGCCCAGATCCGGTCTCAAGGATTCAGCGGATAAAGGCCTGGCGCCGGACGCTCCGCCATGTCCGGGCCGAGGGGTTTTGGAGGACTCAACAGGTTTTTACTCTGGAGTAATAAGGGTGCACAGTAGGGTGCAGCAAGCCGACAGAGCCGGACCTCTCGGTGCTTCTACCCATTTAGGGTGAGAACACGGAAGGAGACCGGCTCTACACGTAGGCTATAGTATCTAGCGAACGTGTTATTTGTCACCCAGCCCGCAGCTCTACAGATATCTGTTAGCGAGGAGCCACGTGCCAGCGCCCAGGAGGATGCAACGCCTCTCGTGGAGTGAGCATACATCTCCTGGAAAGTGCACAAGGCATGTGCATCCTCTGCTTGGAGACAGCCTTTCCCTTCTGCTGGCCTCCGTAACAGACAAAGAGCTGGTCTGAGGTCCTGGTGCTTTGAGTTCTGTCCACGTACATACGCAGAGCGCGAACGGGACAGAACAAAGCCAGGGCTGGGTCTGCCTCCTCCAAGGGCAGCGCTTGCAGGTTCAGTACCTGGTCCCTGAAGGGAGTGGTAGGAACCTTGAGTGCATAGCCAGGCCGTGGTCTTAGTACTACGTGGTTGTCAACCGGCCCAAACTCTAGGCACGATTCGTCGACCGAAAATGCCTACAGAGGCCAGTTCAACCAGCAGCAAAGTCTTCGTGGAAAGAAGCTTTAAGTCTACTGATTGCAAAGGCTCAAAGGGAGCATCCTGAAGTGCTCGAAGCACCAGGGAAAGGTCCCAAGAGGGTATGGAGGGGGGTCGAGGATGATTTAATCGTCTCGCCCCCCTAAGAAACCTGACGACCAGGTTGTGCTTTTCCAACTGTTCCAACCAATCTATGTGGTTGTGATAATAGCTGAAATAGCTGCAGCATGTACTTTGAGGGTGGAGGGAGACAGCCTTCGCTCCAACCCTTGCTGCAAGAAGGAAAGCACAGACCCTATCGAACATCTTCGGGGGTCTTCTCGGCGAGAAGAAAACCACTCGACGAACAGGTTCCACTTCAGGGCGTAAACACGTCTCGTAGAGGGCGCCCGTGCTAAAGTGATGGTATTAAGTACCTCTGGGGATAAGTCACCTAGAACCTCCACATCCCGTCCAGGGACCAGACATGGAGATTCCAGAGGTCTGGAAGATCCTTCCTCAGAGGAATGGGGCAGGGAGGGACTGTCATGAGGAGCATGAGTTCTGGGAACCAAGTACGGGTGGGCCAATAGGGAGCCACCAGAAGGACCTGCTCCTCGTCCTCCCTGACTTTGCACAGTATCTGCGCAAATAGGCTCACTGGGGAAAATGCATATTTGCGGCGGCCCCGTGGCCAGCTGTGTGCCACTGTGTCCGTGCCGAGTGTTTCCTCGGTCAGGGAGTAAAACAGCTGGCAGTGGGAGGTCTCTGAGGAGGCAAACAGGTCTACCTGAGCCTCCCCACACTCTCTCCAGATCATCTGAACCGCCTGGGGGTGAAGTCGCGATTCTCCCGGGAACACAGCTCGTGATACCTCGTCGGCCACTTGGTTGAGCACGCGGGGGACATACATGGCTCGAAGCGACCTCAGATGCTTCTGACTCCATAGGAAGAGATGGCGGGCAAGTTGCGACATGCGACGGGAGCGTAGTCCACCTAGTCGGTTGATGTACACAATGGTTGCAGTGTTGTCCGTACGGACCAGCACGTCCCTGCCCTGTAGCGGCCTTTTCAAGCGGCTCAGAGCGAGATGTACTGCTAGCAACTCGAGGCAATTGATGTGCCAGTGCAGTTGGGGGTCTGTCCACATCCCTGACACTGCATTACCGTTGTACGTGGCACCCCAGCCGGTGGCAGAGGCATCAGGAACGAGGGATCTGACCACGGGCTGAAGGTCTGGCGGCACACCGGTGTGATTGCCACCCGGTGAGTGCCGTGATGCCACGCCCATCTCGGGACTCGGCCGTGAAGCCAGTGCTGAAGCGCTCTCATATGAAGAGTCCTGCCTTTTAACGTGTTCAAGCAGTTCAGCACCGACTGGGTGCGCTGCTCTGTGAGGCGCGCTGTCTGTGCGACCGAATCCAACTCCATTCTGAGAAAAGAGATCCTCTGCACAGGGGAGAGTTTGATCTTTTCCCAGTTGACCTGAAGACCCAACTGGCTGAGGTGCCTGAGCACGAGGTCCCTGTGTTCGCATAGCTGATCTCGAGAGTGTGCTAGTATGAGCCAGTAGTCGAGATAGTTGAGGATGCGAACGCCTCAGTTAGGCTAGCACAGCCGTTTCTTGAAAATCACGCCTCGCTGAAACTTATGAAGCGATCATTTAGATTGATAACGGTAAAATAAATCCTTTTTTTGTATGGCAAGGGATTGATTTGTATTGGTAGATCTAAAAGATGCAGATTTCCACATCCAGATAGCACCTCGTCACAGGTGCTTTCTGAGATTTGAATTCAAAGGAGTTGCTTATCAGTTTACAGTCCTTTCTTTCGTGCTATCATTGGTCCCCCATACATTCAAAAAGTGCATGAATGCTGTTCTCAGCTCTGTGTCTGAGCTGAGTGCGCATTCTGAATTATTTGAACGATTGGCTGCTCATGGCTCTCTCGGAGAGTGCGCTGAGCAAACAAAAAAGAATGCTCATCAAGCACCTTCAGTGTTTTGGGCTGCCCTCTGTTTATATGCATCTCCGCCCCTGATTCGCGTGCTTGAAACCAGTATTCTAGGAGAAAGTTTTTCCCCATATCATCATCAATGACGCAATGTTTCGTTCCCTCATTTCAGGGAACCGAGGATACATCCAACGAACATCCAACCATCCCTCTTTGTAGAACACAATGCTCATCATAATGGATGTTTTTAAAAAAACGCTATGCAGAATGTAAATGGTAAATATTTAATTCATGAGTTGTCAAAACAATGTATAAGCTAGGGTATAATTTTTACGAATTGCAGCGATCTATTTGCTTCTCTTTTCTGTAGCTTTCGGCAGTATGTAAAGAGATAGCTCCAATTTCTTGTTAAATCTATTTGTACAGTCAACCGCAAAGCTCTTTCCCGTTTTAGAAGTGTTTTGTTTGTTTTTCGCGTCATTCAAGCTGAACACAATGCTGCCACTTTTTTTGCCACTCCCACCTACTGTGACATCATGTGCATACCCTCCATAGAATAATATTATTGATTGATTTGAGAACAAATCACTAAATGAATGTGAATTTCTCTTCAGGTATGTTATCAGTACACTAGAGCTCATGGTAGCAGAGGACTACATGATCATCTATCTGAATGGAGCCACTCCACACCGGAGGATGCCTGGCCTCAACTGGCTTAAGAGATGTTACCAGATGATTGACAGGAGGTATAATATGCCTTACTTATCAATATTCTGTCTATTTACAGTATGTTGAATATATTAAAATGTGCAATGCAGAATATACAGTATATTAAAAATTATGACTTATTTTTGTTTTTTTACACTTTTTCAGGCTTAGAAAGAACTTAAAATCTTTCATTATTGTTCACCCATCATGGTTCATTAGGACAATTCTAGCCATCACAAAACCATTTATCAGGTATGTTGACTGGCATTTTTTTGTTTTGTTTTAGTTTTTTAGTATTGGTCAATAGTTTAGATACACTCGACAGAATACGTATCTCATGATCTTAAAAACCGTATCTAAAGGTTAATGCTTAAATGCTTGAAAGTAGTTTTATAGACAAATAAAAAACTACCTTAAGATTTAAAAAAGCAGATTAATAGCATGGATGCATTGAATTGATCAAAGATGATAGCAAAGACATTTACACCGTTAAAATATTTATTTCAAATAAATGCAGTTTTTTTGTACTTCCTATTCATCAAAGAATCCTGGAAAAAATGTATAATAGTTTCCACAAAAATATTGAGCAAAATAACTTGATAATAAGAAATGTTTATTGCGCACCAATCAACACATTAGAATGATTTCTGAAGGATCATGATTCATGTGACACTGGAGACTGGAGTAATGACTGCTGAAAAGTCAGCTTTGCTATCGTAGAAATAAATTACATTTTAAAATATATTAAAATAGAAAATAGTTATTTTAAATCATAATATACAGTGCTGGTCAGAATTATTTGCCCCATTGGTAAATATGATCAAAGATGGCTGTAAAAAATAAATCTGCGTTGTTAATCCTTTTGATATTTTATTTTAAAAAATAGCATAAATCTAACCTTTCATTTAAGTAAAAGAATTGAAAGTGGGGGGAAAATCACATTATGAAATAAATGTTTTTCTCTAAAACACATTGGGAACAATTATTTGCCCCCTTTTATTAAATACTTTTTGCAACCTCCTTTTTTCCAAGATAACAGCTCTGAGTCTTCTCATATAATGCCTGATGAGTTTGGAGAACACCTGACAAGAGATCAGAGACCATTCCTCCATACAGAATCTCTCCAGATCCTTCAGATTCCCAGATCCATGTTGGAGCTTCTTCTCTTCAGTTCAGCCCACTCATTTTCTATAGGGTTCAGGTCTGGGACTGTGATGGCCATTGCAGATGCTTGCTTTTGTGCTCAGTGACCCATTTTTGTTTTGATTTTGATGTTTGTTTTTGGATCACTGTCCTGTTGGAAGATCCACACATGGCCCGTTATAAGATTTCTAGCACAGGCTGTCAGTTTTTTATATTTTTTATATCTGTTGGTATTTGATCGAATCCATGTATCTAAAAAAGATGTCCAGGATGTCTGGCAGAAAATTAGGCCCACAGCATTAAAGATACATCAGTGCGTTTCATTTTTACACATGGGGTAGTTTTTTATCCCTGTGCACCAAACCCAAGTATTTGCTGCCTGAAAAGCTATTTTCTTTTTCATCTGACCATAGAACCCGTCCCGTTTGAAGTTCCAGTAGTGTCAGTTACTTTTCAAACGTTCTATGGACAGATGAAACAAAAAAAAAAAGAGCTTTTTGGCAGCAAACACTTAAAGGAGTAGTTCACTTTTAAAAAAACTTTTGCTGATAATTTACTCACCCCCATGTCATCCAAGTTGTCCATGTCTTTCTTTCTTTAGTCGAAAATAAATTAAGGTTTTTGATGAAAACATTCCAGGATTTTTCTCCATATAATGCACTTTACTGGGCACCAAACGGTCCAAGGTCCAAAAGACAGTTTCAGTGCAACCTGCAAACTGTTCAAAGGGCTTTAAACGATTCCAGACGATGAATAAGGTTCTTATCAAGCGAAACGATCGCTAATTTAAAAAATAAATAACAACGTTTAAGTTTTATAAGCTCACATGCCCGCCTTGCTCTGTTCTGTGTGACTCTCCTGTTCGAACTCGTTCATCAAAATGAACAAATCTTTTTTCGAGTCATTTGATTCATTTAACAACCGAAATGAACGAATTGACTCGGAAAAAGATTTGTTCATTTTGATGAACGAGTTCGAACAGGAGAGTTACACAGAACAGAGAAAGGCGAGCATGTGAGCTTATAAAACTTAAACGTTGTTATTATTTTTTTTTAAATGAGCGATCGTTTCGCTTGATAAGACCCTTATTCATCGTCTGGTGTCATTTAAAACCATTTGAACAGTTTGCAGTTTGCACTGAAACTGTCTTTTGGACCTTGAACCGTTTGGCTACCATTGAAGTCCATTATATGGAGAAAAATCCTGGAATGTTTTCATCAAAAACCTTAATTTATTTTCGACTGAAGAAAGAAAGACATGGACATCTTGGATGACATGGGGGTGAGTAAATTATCAGCAAAAGTTTTTTAAAAAGTGAACTAATCCTTTAATATGGGTTTGGTTCATACAAGTATAAAAAAGTACCCCATGTGTAAAATGAAATACTCTGAACACGTTGGCCACAATTATTGGCACTCCTATAATTTTTTATGAGTAAAATATCTCTGAAGTATATTCCCATTAATATTTTCCTTTTTTAGCACACCAGGGTGACTAGGAACATGTAATTGTCTAGCTATGAGTTCTTGGTTCACAGGAGTTTAAATATGAAGCAACACAAAGGCCAAATTCCCTTAATCGCCCATCACAATCAGTAAAACCAAAGAATATAGTTCTGATGTGCATCAAAGGATTGTTGATCATCACAAAATAGAAAGTGGCTGTAGGAAAATAGCTAAAGAATCGAAAATCCCCATTTTGACCATCAGGGCAATAATTAAGAAGTTCCAATCAACTAAAGATGTTACGAATCTGCCTGGAAGAGGACGTGTGTCTATCTATATTGTCTTAATGCACGGTGAGGAGGAGAGTTTGAGTGGCCAAATACTCTTCAAGGATCACAAATGGAGAATTGCAGAGATTAGTTGAGTCTCAGGGTCAGAAGCCTACCAAAAAAAAAAAAATTAAATAACCCCTACATCCCCACATGTTGTTTTGGAGGGTTTCAAGAAAAATCTTCCTCGCTCATCCAAAAACAAACTCCAGCATATTCAGTTGTCAGACACGACTGGCTCTTCAAAAGGGACCGGATTCTATGGTCAGATGAAACTTAAGAAAATAGCTTTTTGGCAGCAAAGCCACCAGATGGGTTTGGTGCAAACAGAGATAACAAGTGCCCCATACCCACAGTTAAATATACCGCTGGATCTTTAATGTTGTGGGCCTATATTTTTTTCTCGAGGTTCTGGACTTCTTGTTCATATACATGGTGTCATGGATTCTAGCAAATACTAACAGATAAAAAATCAAAACCTGACGGCCTCTGCTAGAAATCTTATAATGGGCCGTGGTTGGATCTTCCATCAGGACAACAATCCAAAACAAACATCAAAATCAGGTCACTGAGCACAAAATGAAGCTTCTGCCATGACCGTCCCTGTTCCCCGACCTGATGAGTGGAGTGAACTGAAAAGAAGAAGCATCAACATGAAGCTGGGAATCTGAAGGATCTGGAGAGATTCTGTATGGAGGAATGGTCTCTGATCTCTTGTCAGGTGTTCTCCAAACTCATCAGGCATTATAGGATAAAACTCAGAGCTGTTATCTTGGCAAAAGGAGATTGCAAAAAGTATTTAATAAAAGGGTGCCAATATTTCTGGCCGACGTGTTTTGGAGAAAAAACATTTATTTCATGTGATTTCCCCCGCACTTTCAATTATTTTACTTCATTTTTTTTTTTAAATGAACGATCAAAAGGATAAACTATGCAGATTTATTTTTTACAGCAATTTTTGATAATATTTACCTGGGGTGCCATTAATTCTGACCACAACTGTACATGGATACGCCTTATTGTTATCGAAGCAACCATGCAGATGGGTTGTTTATGTCTGAACACAAAAATCTTATTTGATCACTTGCAATTAAAAGTGCGGACAGTCTGCCTGAGAAGATAATTTGAGAAAAAAAAAAAACTGATTTGCCTGAAGTCTGAACATAGTCGTAGTGTACAAAATATTGGCTTTGGAGACAAAAACAAACAAAATAAAATGGATTCATAAATGTTTTCCAGCTCAAAGTTCAGCAGTAAGATAAAGTATGTGAACAGCTTAGCTGAACTGGAGGAGCTCATCCCAATGGAGTACGTCCACATACCCGAGTGCATCATCAGGTGAGCAAGTATCAATGAGTGACATGTTTAATTGTCTTTCATTACATGTATGCCAATTTATTTTTAGCACTGAACTATACAATGGGAGAAAGTAAACAGAGGGATCATTATGGCACTGATCAGCAGCACACATAGATTGTGAGAGCGAGACAACCACTGACAGATGTAGCTGCTGAAGAGGTGTTGAGTGTGTTTATGAGAATCTGCACAGGAGTTGTCATTCTATAATTTAAAACCTGTGAAGACACCTTTCTATGGGAACAGACATTTCGAACAGATTCGATGATTTAAAATGCTGGGGTGAAGAGTAACATTATAAGATTTATCTGTTTTACTAGGAGTTACCAACCTTTTTTTCTGACCTACCCCTATAATCTAACAATCAAATAATGTAATAAATATGAAATGATTGTCTATTTTTTTCCATTAAAAAATCTCAGCTTTTTTATAGTTTTATATATTCTACATTTTATTTAAATGTAAAGAAAGTTAAAAATATAACTGAGCTAAAATATAAATTAATTAATTTCTGCCCCTCTAGACTGGATGAGGAGTTACGGGAAGCATCGGAGAGCTCTACGTGAGTATTAGAGGTCTTTGACTATTTTCGTCAAAATATCATACAGTGCACTAGCTATATAACAAAACATATCTTTTTCATTTCTTTATGAAGAATCAACAGCTTTCTCCATGGAAGTGAGATTCCACAAGGATCTATGTAAGCATATTAATATTAGCATATTAAATTGTTTTTAAAGTCAACATGAAATAGCAACAAATATTTTACATGTTCCTGGTCCTACTGTGCAAAAAAAAACAAAAAAACATCTCAGGTTATGACTGTACAACGCATTCTCATCCTTTGGCGTCATATATGTGACGCCATATGAGATTTCGTCGAAATCTTACGCACATGGCATCCTTTGGCGTCAATATAACACGCACTGTTATGGGTAGGTTTAGGTCTGGGGTAGGGTACGGTTATGACGCCTTGGGATCTGCGTCTCATATTGACGCTAAACGATGCCATGTGCGTCGGATTTTACCTGTATGACGCCTTGGGTTCTGCGTCTCATATTGATGCTAAAGGATGCCATGGTCGTAAGATTTCAACGAAATGCCCAAAGCGTCACATGTATGACGCCTTGGGATGAGAACAGGCTGGACTGTAACCATGGTTTCTTGAAAAGGGGAACGAGACTCGACGTTTGAATTGACGCTATGGGTAATGCCATCAGCGTGACTGTTTTCTGAAGCACGTGTGCAAACACAACAATTTAATTGGCCGACGACAGTCAATGACATCACTTTAGTCCCAGCCTCTACAGCCTTCCTCCCTTCCTTGTGGGCTAGGGCATACTTCTAGGGAATACTGGCCCAGGGAGAACATTTTAAAATACGACATTGGCCAACCACTACCTCGGGGGGAGAGCCCATATGGGGGTCACACCTAGAATAATTATTCATCAGCCTCATTACATAGAACTCCAACTATAGGGAGCCACTGGGGAGCTTCAGCTCTACCATCACCGCACAATTGGGGGAAAGTACTCACACCCTGGCTGGACTCATCTAGGATCCCAAGACTCCTGGCACTTGCAAAGGTGCCCGATATCAAGAAGGGATGCTAGAAGGCAATTTAACTCTACTTGTTAGGTTCTAAGGGATCGGTTAGGGCTCCAACAGGGAGTGGAGGACCCTACTTTAAAATCCCAACAGCAGCTGAGGGTTCTACTCAACACTTAACCCTGAAGAGCAGCCAACCAATGGGAGCCTGCTAAGCGCTTGCTACAACCATCGATACTGCTGCCGTTCTAGAAGGAAGCCACCAGGGAGCTCTTATCCTATCCTACTAGGTAGTTCAACCCTCCTAACACACTCCTCTAGGGCCTTCTATAGCTCGTACTTGATTCAGTCAGCACTAGCTATAGTGACAAGAACAATAGTAATGGAGGAAATAAGGGATTTTACTTGTCCTCAGTGATTCTGGCCTGTTTACCAAATCGCTTTCTTTCAATCATTTCCCTGAGATCTTGTCTCTTCTTCCTAACATCTCACCTCCTCTGTGCTCTACTCCTCGAAGGAGGAGGAGCACAAGTGGCCACACTCTCCCTCTGGCCCTGCCTCCAGTCCTTAGACTGTGATGGACCACACGAAGATTTAGATTGGGCCAGGATGTACTTCCTGCAAACTACCGACCCAATCTAGTTGTGACGCGGACCATTACCTCCAGAAACTCCTCGTATGCTGGGCTGATAGGCTGAGAGGGCTCACTAAAAGCGATATCTTCACCTTCTTCAACCACATCCACCTCATCCTGGCTGGATTGTGCTAGCAACATACTGTCTGCTGGATCCTAAGACTCAAGAGAAAGCACATCCTGATAGAGAAGATCGCTCGGGCCAGTGACCGAGGAACATGAGAGGGACATACCATTCTCGAATTCCTCGGCCAGCTTGAGCTTCCTCATTGTGAATCTCTCACAATGAGCGCATTCAGCTTCCCTGAGATCTTAACGCACGTCCTCCTCACCTAAACACACAACGCACAAGTTGTGTTTGTCTTCAGGTTTAAAAAACCTGAGACACTGAGGCACACACTTCCTGAAATGCTTGTTCGAGTGCTTATCCATGATAGATTTCTTTACACTCGCTAACATAAACAAACGGCTCCTGAAGACAGAAAAGCTGATTACATACATTGCAGGTACCCTCTTATACTTACGGTTGCTCAGGTAGTGAATTCATGGACTGTCGTCGGCTAATACATTTTTTGTTTTGGCAAACGTACTACAGACACCGATCACACTGATAGTATATCCCCATAGATAAGTGTTGAGTTCTACTTTGTAAGGGAACTCTCATTTTCTGCTGACATCACCAACATTATGCAGGCTATTGGTTCACGTTATAACTAAATTGCTTTGCAGCCATTTTTTAAACCTTGCCAATAATTAACACAATAATTTAATGCGGTTTAGCATTAATGCAGTGAAGATTATGGCAATATATATATAAAACAAAATGTTGACAGCACAGGTGGTAATTGGTAATGTAAGAGCCTCTATAATCCAGAGCAAACTCCCATTCAATTCTTGACAATTTTCCCAATACAATAATTTTTTAAAGGCACAGTATGTAAGTTTCACCAGTAGAGGTCAATAACAAAGGCTTAGCTTGATGAGACTATGAATATGCGTGGATCATTGGAGTTGTTGTCTTCACCTCCACAGCCGATGGAAAGCAATCTAACGGGACTCAGGCAGAAATTATGTTCATGGGTGAGCTAATGTATTCCATTTTTATTAACATTACTGTAGTATGAAGCAGGGCAGGGCAGAAAGCATGGGACATTTTACGTTGCTGTTTTTACTATGCTTATATGCCACAGTCGGCCACTGCCACTCCTTTCGTCTTATGCTTATTTTACAATTAAAGTTATGTTTCAGTCCGCCTCCTTCCCTGAACTTGTACTCTGTTACAGTTACATTTGATCAATTAAATTCACATTGTTTGCGGGATAACACAGTATTTTTTTACGTGTCAAAACAATCATACTAAAAATACATTTGAGTGTGTTGAAAGTTGCGTTAGCTCGATGGTTGGTCTGAGATACTTAATGCACATTGCAGTGAGCTAGAACGATATTAGAATATCATACTGTATGAATAAAAGCTGGATGTCTTTTGTTGCTAAATGGCATGCAATTAATTTTTAAATATATTGTATGGTGGAAAAAAATGCTGTATTATTACTGTTACTAAAATTCTAGAAGTGGCATATACTTCTTCTTCTGCTTCTGGGTGAGATGACGGCGATAGAGGAGCCAACCATTGACCAGTGATAGGTCAATCAAGTAGTACAAGATGCGCAGATACCAACGACGTGGGCGGATGTCAATGCGATAGAGAGCTGCAAACATGTCTGCTAAGTCTACTCCTCCCATGTTGTGGTTGCACACCTTGACAATGTGGGGTCTGTCCACTTCCACATATTCCTTCTTCTCTTTCGACCACCTTCTGCATCTCTCAACAGGTTCAGGGCCAATGAAGGATGATGCCAGCAACACTGCCTTGTTATCATACCACTTCACGATGGACATCCCGCTTGTCTTTTCGTATTTCACTTCATACGCACCACGCCCGGACTTTGAGAGTTCCTTGTCACTCTAGAGGGTACATCCACGGAGACGGTTACGATTGATGGTAGCAACTGTTAGAATTCCCATTTTCTTCAGTTCCACAATGAGTTCAGGGGAAGTGAACCAGTTGTCGAAGAAGCACTTGTAGTTTAGTCCTTTTGGAACTTCTGATACGAGACGAAGCACAACTTCACCGGCAACACCAAGTCCACGCTCATTGGTCACGGTCCCTTTTCCAGTGTATACTTCAAAGTCATAGACTAGTCCAGTGACACCTGCACGAGTAAAGACCTTGATTCCCCATTTATGCGGCTTGTTCTTGATATATTGTTTCATTCCAAGCTTTCCTTTGAAGGGGATCATCTGCTCATCAATGGAGTGGTTTTCTTCTGGTTCAACCTTCAAACAGTTGGCACGGACTTTCTCAAGAACTGGACGCACCTTGAATAATGGATCGTATCCAGGCTCACCCTTTTGCTTCACATTTGTATTGTCGCTCATGTGGATGTATGTACGCGGATTATCAAATCGCTTACGTCCCATGACTGTCGCAATTGGGTCGTAGCGGGTTGCCGTCTGTCAGTACATGCGGTAAGATGGCATACGTACTACGGTCATCAAGATGTGTAAACCAATTAATTGCTCTATTTCAGAAGGGGTTGTTTTCAGTTCTGAGCCATTCTTCATAACTGCATACAAGTTAGATTGGTGAGAAATATGTTCAAACACAGATTTGTCCATGAACTGATCAAAATACCACTTTGGACTTGGTATTTCGTCTGGGGGAGGTGAGAATGCAGGTCCTCGGAATGAAGAGTCTATGTCAGCTGCTGGGGGTTTCCTCTGCCTCCAAGAAAACTCTTTGTTGACTGGAGCTGGGCCTGGCTGAGGTTCATTGTCATCAGGGACCTCAGTGTCACTGTCTGCATGTATGTTATGAATTTCAACATCAAGGTGGTTGAGATTAGCTGATATATCATCATCAAAGCTGGAGTCAGGAGATTCCTCAAAATCTGGATCAGCAATCAGGAGATTCCTCAAAATCTGGATCAGCAATTTCATTGTCTGAAATGGATTCTGTGTCAGATAAAGCACCATCAGGAAGGCAAATGTACTCGATGACTTCCCTGGCTGAATAAATCTTTCGTCTGCCTGCCATAACAACCTGCAAATCCTGCATAGAAAGTATTCTGTAAGGTAGTTTGCCAAAAAATGCTTTGACACAATGATCTGTACTAATAAAAGTGCCATGGAATTTAGGCTACATCAGTTTTCCTCACTGCACAGTCAAATGAACATGGTATTGTGCCATTGCTTTTGATCAAATCTGCCTCTGATTGTGTGTAAATTCACTCCAAATAATTCAATTTTGCATATGATATACCATCAGTGACACCTTAAAGTAATACGTAAACACTGGTGATAGGAACATAACCCTAGTATAAACTGTTGCTCAAAATATAGGCAAACTAGTAGATAAAGCATGTGGTATCCAGTGGTACCTATCTGGCCACACGTTGCAAATCTGCTACGTTGAAATAGAGTTGCACCAGGGGAAAAATCCAGAAGAGATAAAATCTACTAATTGGCATTTACTGTGTCTATACACTTATGATTCTTCTTATGCAGTTTTAGTTTCAAATTAATGGAGGTTGATAGTGATACTTACATGAAATTGATGCCAAGAAAATCAGTTTCAGGGAACCCATGGAAACAGACATGTTGGAAGTGAGTGAGACTACACTGCCACCTGGTGAGCAAGTGGGAAACTGTTTGTTGCTAATGGACAACCAAGTCCTGCAGTGGTACTTCTGAGTAAAAAAAACTCATAAAATATGTATCTGGAGTAATAAGGTAGTTAGTTTGTAACTGTTGCAAATCAGCAACGCCTGCCTTGAGAGGGTTAAAGTTGATCCTGCTGCTAGCTCTTGGAGAGCTCCTACTCACGCTCTCAGTCTCTGCAAGATTCGGAAGGGAATGATTCAGATTCCTCTTGGCACAGCTACTAGAAGACTCACAACTGTCAGACAGGTTGCTCACGTCACATCTACGTCGTCAAGCTCAGTTTGAGCCTGCGCAGTACGCTCAGTCATCAGGAAGTGAGTGCTTCTAATTGACTTCACTTTTCTCCGTTGAAGTCTATGGGGTCGCTGTGTCCATTTCTTTTACTGTCTATGGTTACACACTGGTCGAAATAGCTGATTTCCCTGGATTTAAACATTGATTTAAATATTAAGTACAATAGTCAACAAAATATATGACATATATAACATTTTTGTTGAATTTTTTTTAATCCAAAAGTCTTACATACTGTGCCTTTAAAGGGTTAGTTCTTCCAAAAATTTTTTTTTTTATGTTTTACTCACCCTCATGTCGTTCCAAACCTTTAAGACATTCGTTCATCTGAAGTCAAATGAAGATATTTTTTAATGAAATCTGAGAGATTTCTGTCCCTCCATTGACAGTCTATGCAAATACCACTTTGATCATGCATCAAAAAGTGTATAAAGAGCTATTTAATTTAGGATTTTATTCATTTATAAACGTTCATCAAAGCACACATCAGGTGTGGTAAATGGAAGCTCAAGCATGCTTGCTTGAGCTGTGATCACTAATGAGGTTCATTCTAGTGTTACACAGCACGTTTGAGCTTCCGCAAGAACCAATGAGGTTTGTTCTCGCTTATTCGGTTGAACTTCTGTTTATTTTCACTGATCAATGTTTATGTCATTAAAAGCCTAAATTCAATCTGTTCATCATATGAAACGATCTTGTCTCTTCTGAAAATTTGGACTAAAGCTCTCTATTCATATGGATTAGTTTTACGATCTCTTTATGAACTTTTTGAAGCATCAAAAGTGGTAGTTGTGTAGACTGTCAATGGAGGTACAAAAATTCCTCAGATTTCATTAAAAATATCTTCAGTTCTGTTCTGCAGATGAAGAAACGTCTTACGGGTTTGGAACGAGGGTGAGTAATTGATGACAGAATTTTCATTTTTTTGGGTGAATTATAACCCTACAGTCATCTCAATCTCTCTTTTTTTTTTGTTACTTGGAAATGTCATATTACAGAAGTAAAATGTTATATGAATGCTGTTTCATGTAAACTTTAAAGTATATACATTTTTTAAATAATACTAAATAATGATATACATAATAATAATGATATAACTTTTTTATATCTGTTGCAGAGCTCAACCCAATGTGAGCAGTTCATAAGAGTCGTTGGCTGTGGGTGCAAGAACAATATGTCTGTAAAGGTTTTGAGTATTTCAAATTGTAATGATTGCACGCTAATATGGATGCAATAATCACTTATAATAAGAGAAAAGGGTATTTTTGTTAGCTCGCAGTGCTGGGATGATTAAAGCAGCACAACATATTCTTAAAAACAAATCACCTCATATACAATAATTCTTCTCACATTTGAATTTGCACCACAGAACAGTAGCTTAAATCAGCTCAATGCTTGAAACATTCTTTGTCTCCTATCGTCTTGCAAAAGTTTATCTTGTTACTTGAATAATGCATGAGAGGCATTTTAGCAATAATATCATGTTGTACTTTTCCCCTTTAGGCTCATAATTTTCACAGTCAGCTATTTTTTTCTAATTGGAGCATGTATAAAGGCAAAATAGGCAAAGAATCATGTCACTTCAGTTGCTGTCAATAATAATGCATGCAAGGTTATTCTAAACACAAAGACAATGCATAGCATCCTGTTAGCACCAATGCTAACTCTCCACCCTCTCATGCTAAATTGATGACTTGGGGACATAGAAGATAGAGCACTCTAGAGTTACTTATTTCCATTGTCAGAAACAGTACGAGTCAGGTTTTAATTTAAATTTAGCCTCATATCAATTTGTGTATCAGTTCAAATTCAGCAGAGAGAAATCATTTGTAGTTCTTAAATGTGAAGTGTATTATGTTAAAGTGCTTTCTCTATTGCATTAAAGGGATAATTCACCCCACAATTAAAACTTGTCATCAACTACTATTATAATATCTTCATTTGTGATTCGAAGATGAACGAAAGTCTTACGGGTTTGGAATGGCGTGAGGGTAAGTAATTGATGACAATTTTTATTTTTTGGGGGGTGAATTAATCTTTTAAGCCCTTCATAGGTTGACTCTGTGAACAATGTAGCATAAAGACTTTTGTGGCTCTTTCAAAAATTGTTTCATAATCGTTTTTGCTGTCACACATGTCTGGCTCAATTAATTACATGAATTTCTTTGAACAATAGTGGATATTGCCACAAGAGGTGGCCTCAGAACGTTTGCGAAACCCAGTGTTTGCTAATTTAAACATGATAGAGTGCAACAGTGCTCACTTTTTCAGTGGCCTTGGGTCCAGAAGTCATTTTTCCTATAGGGATTTAAAAAAGTTATAAGTCACGAACCAAACTAATCAGCTAAGAGGTGAATCATAACATTACAAACTTTGATTTGAAGCAAAAAAGTATTTAAATTTTTTACAAAAAAACAGATTCAAGACTGTCTTTTACGGCTTTAATGAGAGAGAACTACATTCTCACAAAGCAATGTTAATGAAATAATCAAATTAAAAAAGGATATATATATATATATATATATATATATGTGTGTGTGTGTGTGTGTGTGTGTGTGTGTGTGTGTGTGTGTGCGTGCGTGCGTGCGTGCTTGCGTGTGTGTGTGTGTGTGTAGGTCTTTAACATTTTAAATCAAGTTATTTTTGATATTCTGTTTGGTGCCACTAGAGGCGCCATAATGACACACTTCACCTTTAAGAATTATAAGCTATGTAGTAATGCATTAGTCGTTCTTGTGCTCAAAACACTAAAATCAGGCCTATAGATGTTTCAGAACTTTGATGTCTTATTGAGTGTTTTCCATGTTTAAAGGTAAAAATAGTGCCACAATCAAAGGTCTGTCAAATCCTAAGAGCATGCTGTTTCAGAGGTTTTCACTTTCATTGTGACTTCTCTGTCTACTTCCGAACACCTCTTGTGTCAGTGTGTGAGAGTGTATGTGTATAGGTTTGTATTTTGGTGTGTGATTGTTTGTGAATGTGTTTATATGCTGTTAGGCACCAAGTTCTTCCTGCTAACAGGTTTGGAAACTAAAATAAAGGGACTTAAAAAGATTGCTGTATAGCACAATATTCAAATGAAGTGTGCAAGTGTGTGTGAATATTTGAGAGACATTATGTGTGCGATTGTATCACTGCATGTGTCCCTGATTGTTGATATTTGATCCTTTTAGACTGAAATTCTATCTAAGAATATGAATATGAACTTTTATCCAGAGGCCTTCTCCAGCAGAGCATATTAAGATTGAGATGTATGTCATATTGCAGAGTAATATCAATAAATTTAATTAATATCTGAACAGTTGTATGGTAGTATTTTATGTACTATTTTGATACCTGACATTTCTTTCAGAAATTTTAAATGACAAAAATCTGTATGTTGCAACACTGGCTCTCTGAAAAGCACATTTGTTAAAGTTTAATGTTCAAGGGATAATACACACAACACACACACACACACACAAAGAAAAATTCTAGCATCAGTATGAATGAATAACAAATAAAATCTGATCTGTTTCTCTCACAAATCTATGAAATGACTTCAGAAGATTTGGATACTTAGAAAGTGCATGAGTCATGGACTATTTTTATCGTACTTTGTGATAGCCATGATTGGCACACACTTCTTTTTTATTACATTTGTCTTGGAACATTTGATGTTTACAGTTAACCTAACCCTAATTTAATTTTAATCTCTGCAACCATCCTTACCTTACACATTGGCACATAATGTATCTGTTGAAATCTGGATGAAAAAGTGACTTGAATTTTGACTTGATTATTCTGAATGAAGCAAATTTTAATTTTCAGATGCCCAAAATTCCGTAAAAATATATTGTTAATATGAAGATTTTTTTAAATAGGTGTTTTAACCATATTTTGAATTATGCATCGATTGTATTGTGTTTTAGGCTTAAAGGAAATGTGTGTAAACTTATAAGTGTCACATTGAGTTGTTTTGCAGTACAGATCCTCCAACGCTATCTCACGACCACTTCGTACCAGTGAGTACGAGGTGGCTACTTTGTACGAATTCGTACGACCTCACTCGTACGAATTCGTACGATTTGTCTAAACCCCAGTGACAATAATGTCCTGGCAGAAAATTACCAGAACTTTTTTTTTTTCTATCGATTTTTTTTCTCATAGTGCCAATAGTGTCAATCACATACAAACATAAATATGTCCTCTGATATTACTTGATTAGTTATTTATCCAAAGCATAATAAAATTTGGTTCAATACTTTTTGAGTAGTTCGGTATGATCATTATTTTGATGAAGGCACAAATGTTACCGGAGAGACAATCAAACATCTTGGGGCAGAAGTAGAATCTAATTTGGATAATTGAAATGCAGTAAGTAAAAAATTATTGACTGTACTTGGAATAGGAAATTAACACATAGCATTGTTATACTTTTATTAAAATGTACAGTTGACACACTTTCACAACAAAAAATGACCAAAAGACAAAGTCATCAGTGGAAAAAAAAACAGCTAATCTGTACTTCTGCTACTAGCAAAAATAGGTCATAGGATCTGTTGACTTAATGCACACGTTCCAAAAAAAAAAAAAAATCACTCGCCCATGTAGAACGAAAAAAAAAAAAACGAAAAAAGAACAACACTCAGCTGTCTTCATAAAAGATGAAAAATGAAGGTCAAAAAAGACAAGGAGCTGAAAGGACCACCTACAGCATTAAATCTTAAAGTACCCCTGTGGTGAAAACCAAGTGTTTAATGTTGTTTATATGTCTATGTGGTGTTTTTAATGTGGTTAAGACAAACCATGGGCAAATTCATAAGTCACTGCAGTGAACCAAAGCCAAAGTGTTTCTAACGTCACAAACTACCTTGTTACCAATCACGTCTGATCGTCAACGAGTGGATCTCTGAGCTGGTGTGAGTGAGTGGAGGCGGGGCTAATTTGCATATTCATAGAACCATATGTGGTTAATGAGGCAAGGGTTTAAAGTTGCATTCAAGCTATTTTAAGGCATGCTCCATTTTTAAAAAAAAAAAAAAAAACGTTTAAATATGTAATTTTGGTGATCAAATATGAGTTTCAAGGAATACAAGTATTGACTACAGGGGGACTTTAAACTACAATTTGTGATTGCCATTATATCATCCTAAACAATATATTACTATTCACATATGAGTTCTGAACTTTGCTGAACTCTTCAGAACTTTTTAAATATAATTTTCAAACACAATGTTGCTTTTGCATGCTAAGTGACAATTTTCAGTAACCCTGCAGAATAAATTTTTGTTAAAACAGATGAAGGTGTTATCGGTAGTTGTAGCTCTCATCGTCATATTCTAACTCATCTTCCTGCTCGTCTCCCAGTTGCCCGTATCTGAATTTGCGATAAACAGTGCCATCCTGCCCCATGTACACAATATCTTCATCTTCATCATCTTCATCGTCATCATCTCGAGTCCCCTTCTGATCTCCAAGATCCACTAGCTGTGACTCACGGAAAAGTCCAGAACTAGAGCTTGCTTGACCACCGTAGGCAGAGGTTGATGATGATGTGTAGAAGCCGTCTTTGCCGCCACCATGGCCCAGTTTTTCATACCCACGTGGGATAGCGGTCTCTGGCATGGGTCGTTTGGAAAGAGAACGCTTAATGAGGATGATTACGGAGATTGAGGCAAAGACAAGCAGGATAGAGGTGGTGATAAAGAGTGGCAGGTTTCCTGTGTACTCTTCTTCCTCATGGTTTCGAAAGGCAAAGTTAGTGCTAAGGACACACTCACCTTAAACAGAGATAAAAGATTGGTTTTAATGTCTGACACACAACAAATGAACCAAGACAGGATAACTATTTTTAAGTTACTATTTTAGTATTAAAGAAACATTTCACCCTCAAATGAAAATTCCATCCCAGGTTCATTGGAAAAACATAACTGTAATGACCAGTGCCGCTGCTAGCCATTTTGGTGCCCTAAGCATAATTCCTTTATGATGCCCCCCCGCCCCCCCCCCCTAAAAAAAAAAAAAAATTTTCATTTAGGATTTTCATTTAGGGGGGCTAAGCCCCCAATGAGGGTATGATTTATAAAAAAAATGCAAAAATTAAAAAGTAACACTTTAGTTTAGGGTCTAATGCTTACTATTAACTAGTTTCATTACCATGCAATGGCATGGTTTTATAATCACTGGGGTTCCGAATTTGAGGCAGGTTAGTTAGGGGTGTTCGGGGGAAATTTTGGATTTTTCTGAACTACAGATGTGCATTTTAAGATGTTGTGAAGGCAAAAAAAAAAAAAAATATATATCGATAACAACAGCTTTAAAACCATGTCAGTGGGCAGCTGATTATTTTTCTCTCCTCATCAGCATCACACTCTTTTCTCTTTGTTTTTATCTTGCCCTGTCTCTTCCCCTCCTAAAGTTGGCTTTTTTTAATTTTCTAAAGGTTACAATTTGTATTTTATTCTCAATATGTACACATTCATTATTAATCCTGTGGCTAACATGATGAAAACGGCTTTGTTCATGTTTCTTGTCCCCTCACAATGACAATAGCCTAAACTATTACACTAGGCTACATGTTTACCTGCCAACTTTTGAGTTTTGCTCGGCGTGAGATTTGTTGACGGGGGGGGGGGGGGGGGGGGGGGTGGTCTCGCTCGCGCAAGGTCTCTCGCTCGCTCTACGCGGTTTGGAGCACAATCTCTGTCTCGCATGCACGCTCGCTCTAGATAACGGGAGATTTTTAACGAATTTGCGGTATAACTAGTCGATCACGAGTGGCTCAACAGGTAGATATATAGATAAACTCATCTTCCAGGCATTTGACCGCCCGGGTTGACACTTCAGCGTGAGAAATCGGGAGTGTGGCGTGTGAGCGTGTGAAACCAATCAAATGCGGGTGTCTCACGGCCAATGCGTGAGAGTTGGCAGCTATGAC